CAATATGTAATACAACAAGCATTGTTAATTCCCTACCACTTTGTTTGTAACTCTGTATTGTCTGTACTGTTCTTTTGCTATTTTGTAAAATATTGTCTGTCTGTTAATGTTTTCCTGCTTTTATTTTTAAAATAAAAAAGATATTTGTATTCATAGGAAATAATAATTTGTTTCATAAATGCAAATCTTCAAAAAGTATGGAAGATATAATCTAGAAGAAATGAATCTGACCTTTTATATTTAGAATCAAAGTCTTTCTAAGTGTTTTATAAAAATCAGTACAATAACTATGGTTTATAATAATTAATAGAATATTTTAATACAACTCATAGAATGGATTTTGGGTGTTCACAACACAGAGATGAACTATGTATGAGGTGATAAATATACCAATTACTCTGATTTGGTCATTACACATTGTAAACATGTACTGAAACACAACTTTGCACCCTATAATTATATACAATTACTGTGTCAATTATATACAATCACTGTGTCAATTGCAAATAAAAATATATTAAAAGAAAAAAGTGAGTAAATTTAAATAAATGTTGGCATTTAAAACCGTATGTGTGACTTGTGTCTAAAATATATGCAGAACTTAAATATGTGGCAAAAATAGCAAAAAAGGACAGGAACAAGAATGACGATCCAAGAACTAAAATATTCTCAGGGTTTTCATTTGTGTGAGAATTGGTAAAAGTACTAATTTGAGGTGGACTAAAAAAAGAGTCCATTTACCACGCCTAAGGTATTATTACTGAATAAATAGTGAGCTAATGAAGTTGGAAGTGGATAAACACTGCATCGTGGTGGGAATACATTGTATTTAAAAAGACTGCTTCCAAAATAACAAAATATAAGCAAGAGTAGATTTCTACATAAGAACACAGCAACAAAACTACTTTCCTTTTATATTAAATGAAATAGTTTTTTTGTTTTGTTTTGTTTTTTAGCGGTAGAGATCAAACCTAGGGTTGGTACATACTAGACAAGTATTCTAACACTGAATTACACCTTTAATTCTTTCCAATATTATTAGATAATTCAAGAAAAAAAAGGGAAGAGAACAAAGAAGACATAAAGCCAGTAAGACTGCATCACTGAATATATAAAGTAAAAATGAACGAAATAATTATTTTACAAAACAAAAAGGATGATATTTAAACTTTCCGGCAAGAAATATGCCTTAAATACCAGCACCCAGAGAGGCTGTAAGTAAACACATGAAAACTATACCATGACAAGTACTCCAAGCTGACTTAGCTGTACACTAGCAATGCAGGCTTTAAAGCAAGCGTCACCACCCGAGACAGACGTCGTGGGGACAAGGCGCACGTGAGGCTCAGCTCCGAGCCGGCTGCAGCCCGGTGCCCGCAAAGGACGGACTGCCCGCGGGTGGGCTCTGCGTCCGATCAGCGGGCTTCCCGCACTGGGCAGGGCCGGCGGGCCCTGGGGGGACACGCGCCCTCTGCGGGTGCATCTCCGAGCCTGGGTCGCAAGGCGCGGCAGGGGCCGACTCCGGCAGGATCCCGCACACCGCTGCGGGCGTCCCGCTCAGCGGGCAGAGGAAGGAGGCGGCCCGCCACGAGCCCTCCCCGCAAGCCCGGGCCTGGCGGCTCTTCCGGCCAGCGCCACAGGGGCACCGCGGGACTGCCCAGCCCAGGCCC